TAACGACCTGATCTGGAATAAACTCTGTTATTTTTTTACTCCTGATTTATAGTCCTTTTTATATGGTTTTACCCAGTTTGAGTTAAGAATAGTAAATAACTTGCTCCCTGGAAAAGGACCGAAGCCCCCGAGGCGCAACGGCTTTTTTTAGGGGACATAACTTCCTCATTTTAACAACATCTACAAACATGTGTGATGTAATGATGTGGCAAACTGGAGTTGAGTACAATTTCTATCAGAATCTCATGGTTGTTTAATACATATACGTTATTGAGTGCTATTTAAAGAGTTTGTCCAAATTGATTTCTTTTCAAGAAAAATAACCGAAGAGAGAAACCTTAAAGGTGGAAACACAGAGCTTTCCTTTAACAAATGTTTAAGGAATTAGACTCAATTCTAACTCGATTCCAACCCTGTTAAAGTCAACCTTTTTACTCACTACATCGTTTTACTTTTTTTATTTTTATATATAATACATATTAGACCAATGTTTGTTGGGGACAAGTATAACACATTAAATCATGACCTAAAAGCTTGGCTTAAGATTTGCATTCCTGCATGAGATTAAACAGGATTAAGTTTGGCCATATTTAATGGACGGAGGTATCTCAGTTTTATTCTCATTTAACTGGACAACAATTTTAAATATCCAGCTTTTAATTGAATCCAGAGAGTTTAATAAAAGGTGTAGCGTTGAAACTTAATTTAAAGGAAAAGTGATGTACAAATATACATCATTAGCATAACAATGATATACACTACAAGCAATAAAAAATGATCTGACCACCGAAGAAACACATATTAATTAAATGCATGTGTGTGTTTAGGTAGTCTTGGTAGGATTTACAACCAAAACCTCCCTTCAGGTTCTTTTGCGTCACCATAGCAGAAGCTATGAGTGCTGATCTGGACCGAACCCAGAGAGAAAAGCAACAGAAGCTCCTCCGGGCAGCAGAGTCCCACTCAGTGGGTTGGAATCATGCAGTTTTTGTAGAATAATTTTCTGAACTGTCAGCTTGGATATTTAATATGTAAGAACATTCAGTGAAGATCCAATTCTTCCCACCTCTGACTTTAACCATCTGTGACAGAATCAGACGCACTCGGCCAACAAAAGTCAGACTTTAAAGACAGTTGGTCTCATTTAAGTGGCTGAACGGAGAGCTCACAGATGGAGCACTGTAAAAAAATCAAAATCTAGTATTTTTTTCTTAAAATAAGTGCATTTGTTCTTGAATTGAGGAGATAAAAGAGACATTTTGCCAATGGGACAAGACAATTTACATTCAAAATAAGAAAGCACTATTGCATTGTCTTATTTAAAGTGCATTTTATCCAAATATCTTATTTAAAGAGTAAAAATACTCATTCCATTGGCAAATCATCTCATTTACCTACTCAAATTAAAGGTAAATACACCTAATTTAAGACAATTTTACTTGTTTCTAGATTGTTTTTCCAGTGAGTCCTTCATCTCTATGAAAACCTGGATGTAGAGATTAAAGAAGTTATTTCTGTTCTCTAACACAGAAGTCTTCTAGTTCACAGAACAGCTAATGCTTCCTTAAGTTCCTTTTCAAACCAGAAAAAAACAACATTTTGATGTTAAGGATGTTATGAGACTAGGATCTTATCAAAGAAGACCAAACCAGTATTTGAAAGTGTTGTAGACAGAGATGGCAAAAGTACTCACTTTCCGTACTTGAGTAAAAGTACAGATACTAGAGTTAAAAATACTCTGGTAAAAGTGGAAGTAATGATTAAACTTCTTTACTCAAGTAAAAGTAACAAAGTACAGGCTTGTAAATTTACTTAAAGTATAAAAGTAAAAGTAGAAACCACTTTTT